GTCAGCGCTGGGGGAGCGCCGCACTGTCGGAGGGTCAGCGCTGGGGGTCACTATTGGCCCTTGCCCTGTATGTATGTTTGATCCCATGGTGCTGAATGGGGTGATGGTGTTGCTGTGGGTGTGTGGTAGGGCTGTGTTTTGGTGGAGTTGGTGTAATGGGATTCTCTCTCTCTCTCTCTCTCCCCCTCAGTATAAGGGTATCTCAAATGTCCATCTGCCGAAGAGTTACTTCCTGACCCATGGTTCCCGTGTTCGATCAGAGAGTTTTATCAATCTACGGGAGGTGTCAACTCGATTCAAGCTGCCCCCTGGAGAATATCTCGTTGTACCATCCACATTTGAACCTCACAAAGATGGAGATTTTGCTGTGAGGGTCTTTTCTGAGAATCGATCCCAGACAGAGTGAGCAATGGTTGCAGGGGGAGCGTGGGATGGATTAACGTGGGGCTCGGGTCTGTGTTTCTGCATCTCTCCTTCATACTTCGACAGCTCTCTCAGTCTCTGTCACCTTCCCTCCATCCCTATTCCCCTCTCCCTGTAACCTTCCTTCCATCCCTATTCCCCTCTCTCTGTAACCTTTCCTCCATCCCTATTCCCCATTTCTCTCTCTCTAACCTTCCCTCTGTCCCCGTTCCCCTCTCTGTAACCTTCCCTCCATCCCTATTCCCCTCTTTCTGTAACCTTCCTTCCATCCCCATTCCCCTTTCTCTCTCATCTTCCCTCCAACCCCATTCCCCTCTCTCTAACCATCCCTATTCCCCCCTCTCTCTAACCTTCCCTCTGTCCCTATTCCCCTCTCTCTGTAACCTTCCCTCCGTCCCCCTTCCCCTCTCTCTAACCTTCCCTCCGTCCCCATTCCCCTCTAACCTTCCCTCTATCCCTATTTCTTTCCCTGAAACTCCCTTCCCTCTCTGTAACTCTCCCCCCAGCCCCATGCTGCCTGCACTCTCTCTGTCTCTCTCTGTGCGTGTGTACACAGTGGGTCGGATTGATCACAGCGAGGTGTATTAACTCTCCACAGGCCACTGGATATTGACGAGGTCCGTGCTGTATTTGACGATGAGGTAATTGTGTTATTTCACCCTCGGCTCTCACTCCGGGATCACCTTTGTCCCGCCCCCTCCGACTCTCCCTCCCTCACTTCACCCTCTCCGACTCTCCCTCCCTCCCTCACTTCACCCTCTCCGACTCTCCATCCCTCACTTCACCCTCTCCGACTCTCCCTCGTCAATCCTCTTCATTACTTCTACAAAGAGAGTCAGGAAACTTAGTGAGACATGATTTCCCACACACAAAGCCGTGTTGACTATCCCTAATCAGTCCTTGCCTTTCCAAACACGTAAGTCCTGTCCGTCAGGACTCCCCCCAACACCTTACCCACCACCGACGTCAGGCTCACCGGTCTATAGCTCCCTGGCTTTTCCTTACCACCTTTCATAAATAGTGGCACCACATTAACCATCCTCCAGTCTTCCAGCACTCACCTGTAGCGATCAATGATACAAATATCTCAGCAAGGGGCCCAGCAATCTCTTCCCTAGCTTCCCACAGAGTTCTAGGGTACACCTGATCAAGTCCTGGGGATTTATCTATCTTTGTGTTTTAAGCCATCGAGCTCCACCTCCTCTGTAATATGGACATTTTTCAAGATGTTGCTGTTTATTTCCCCACGTTCTATACCTTCCATATCCTTCTCCACAGTAGACACTGATGCAAAGTACTCCTTTAGTATCTCCCCCATCTCCACACATAGGTGGCCTTGCTGATTTACCAGGGTCCTATCCTCTCCCAGTTACCCTTTTCTCCTTACAGTATTTATAAAATCCCTTTGGATTCTCCTTAACCCTATTTGCCAAAATTATCTCATGTCCCCTTTTTGCCCTCCCAATTTCTCTCTTAAATATACTCCTACTGCCTTTATATTCTTCCCGGGATCCACTAGATCTCTGCTGACTATACCTGACACACACTTCCTGCTTATTTTTAACCAAAATCTCAATTTCTCTAGTCACCCAGCATTCCATACACCTACCAGCCTTGCCCCTCACCCTAACAGGAACATATTGTCTCTGGACTCCTTTTATTTGTGAAAGCTTCCCGTTTTCCAGCTGACCCTTCATCTGTGAATATCTGCCACGAATCAATATTTGAAAATTCTTGCCTAATACGGTCAAAATTGGCCACCCTCCAATTCAGAAGTTTTAACTTTTAGATCCGGTCTATCCTTTGCCACCACTATTTTAAAACTAACAGAATTATGGTCATTGGCCCCAAAGTGCTCCCCCCCACCCTCCGACACCTCAGTCACCTGCCCTGCTTTATTTCCCAAGGGTAGGTCATGTTTTGTACTTTCTTTAGGAGGTACATCCACAGACTGAATCAGGAAATGTTCTTGTACACACTTAACAAATTCCTCTCCATCCAAGCCCTTAAAACTACGGCATTCCCAGTCTATGTTTGGAAATTCCCTACCATTGCCACCCTATTATTCTCACAGATAGTTAAGACCTCCTTAAAAATTTGTTTCTCAATTTCCCGCTGACTACTGGGGAGGGTTCTGTAGTACCATCCCAATGAGGTGATCATCCCTTTCTTATTTTTCAGTTCCACCCAAATAACTTCCCTGGACATATTCCCCGGAATATCCTCCCTAAGTACGGCACAATGCATCACTTTTACCCTGGAAATAATTGCCTGTAATTTCAAAACAAACTACAACAGATACTCAAGTTTGTCGCTATCACCAACCAATGA